ACAACATTCCAACAGGATGTGACGCGATAAAGGGAAACACATTCTACAGCTGAGCCGAACATTCTATTCTCACACACACACACAAATAAATAAAAAAGTGTGTTTAATATTTTGTTTTAAAATTTTCTTTTTTTTTTTTTTTACCCCAGCCTCAAAATCGAAGATGGCTTCTCTGCACATCAAGTAAGTGAAAACTGCAGTAATATACGGTTTAATTAGCACTTCTGTCTTTTCTGTCTCATTAAATCAGTCGTACACACAGTAATGTCCAACATCTGTCTGTGGACAATATAGTGCATTGGCTAGAGCTTGGTTCTCCGAATTGTTGTACTGGAACGTGGTCAACTCGGGTGTGACCGTAAAGGACCGACAACACGATCTGCAAACGATCTGCCTTTTACTCACAAATTCAACAATAAAACGTTTGAATTTATACTCAGTTTTGCACGTTTGATTATTATTCTTATTTCCCAGAATCAAAGTTGAAATAATGAAAATCTTATGATTATATAAATAGCCAGCTGCTTTTCTATGCAAAGTAACACGAATGTCCTCCGTATTGCTGGTGCTTAGCCTTCCAGCTGCTGTCAATCAAACTCTTGATATTTAAAGAGTATTCCATATATTTTCCCGAATACTCCTTTCTTCTTCATTCTAAAAATATAAAACTATTTAAAATAAAAACAATGACATTATATTGACTGCAGAAAGGGACGAATGACTGTGATTTCAGCTGGACTTTAACCTGCTCACTCCTACTTCCTAATGCCTGTGTGCCGTTAGCCTGAACATCGGCATTCAGAAGAAGATGGAAGTGTGTCTTACTGTCTGTGTTGGGTTTTGGAGCTTGAACCTTGGTAGTTTTTGGAATAAACTTTAAAACCAACAGTAAGCTGAAGGCACTCCCCACAGCACCAACACAGGCAGTGAAGGTCTCCCTGGGAAATAATACAAAGTAGAGGCAGTGTTAGGTTTACAATAGTATGTAAATGTTACAGTTCTACACAAATGTTAGGGATTAGTCATTTCAGTATATATTAATACACATAGATGTGGAAGCCTGCATTTTCTAAAGCTATAACACACAAAGATAAAAAACAAAAACACATATTCTCATCTCTGCTTGCGAGCAACAATAGCTACAAACACCTGAGCGTGGGAGGAAGAACGGGTTATCTCCAAGGCCAGAACACCTAGTTCTGACTGTTGCTCTAGTTTCATAAATGATATATGGGAGGGGAAGCAAGGCGGAATTACTAATTTTTCCTTCTCCTTGGAATTGGTTGGGTCGTGTGCCAAGAGACTGGGACCAGTCTGAGCACCAACAAGGATGCACCAAGTCTAAACCCCATCATTATCCCAATCAGCTTACTATAATCAAATATACCTCATTAAACTTTGATCAGACTTCTTTTGTAGGGCCCGAGAAAAGAGAACACCACTCCGGTTGACTGCTGGATTCTCAATCCAACAACGATCCTTGGCCAAGTATTATGTTTGTCTTATGTCCTAAAGATCACGTTGATACACGACACACACATAAACATCACTTAAACATTTCATAGTCTATGATCATCTTTGCACTTCCATGTTGACCTGGGAACCAGCTGTAAACACAACACACACATAATTTGGTAATAAGTATGTGATGTTACGAGGAGCCAGAAAGATCAGGATTCTTTTCTTTAGAAAAACTCCGGAGGTAAAGATAACGTTCTCTCTCTGGTAATCGAACCCCTCTCAAAAACTGACCTATGTCATTCAGGTTTTTCAAAAACACAAGAAACTGAAACAAATATTAAATAGTGATATTTATTAATAATTTCAACTCTCAAAAAAGGTTGTGACAGTAGAATGACTATTGACATCCCTACATAACAGGAATCAAATGACCTTTGTGACTCAATCAACTTTAAAGCCGTTCAACTCTGTCAACAATAAAACATAACTAACAAAGCTTAACCCTAAATACTATAATGATGTTATCATCTAGCTAAATATTACATGTTCAAGTCAGATTTTCATTAAATAAAAACACAAAAGTAAAGAAGGAACTCCTTTGTTCATTTTTTTAGTTAACACATCATTTCTAAGCTGTTAGGTTTACAATACAGTAATCAAATCTTTCTTAATTGAGATCATGTAATGTGGAAAAAATGAGATGTAGAAATGAAATATAGTTTTGAACAGAAAGCTAGAATCCACTTATAATCCTCCCTCACTTACAAATAGGGGACCAGAGACCTATCATGGAAATAATTCAGTTTTTCTAGGTAGATTATCGTTCTTTTCTTGAAACAGCCGCATCGTCCATGGCAAAGTCAGACTCTTGACATAAGGGCTGTTTACTAAGGGTAGACTCACATGATCTGTTCAACTGAAGGATTGTATATGAGGTCAGAATGATTTAGGCAAAAAAAATGACTTTATTTTATTATTTCCCCAGAGCAAAGTCCACTCATTATGCAGTGAATCCATAAACCGAAATAGATCGATACTGTGCTTATGCTCTGGAGAATTGGACCTCATTAGTGAAGACTTGGCTGTGGGAACTTAGAGCTGGGTGGAGGTTAGGCATGAAAGAGGAGGAGGAGGGAGGAGGAGGAGGAGGGGGGAGTGAAACGGAGACGATTTTAAAGTAAATTACCTTGAAGTGGAAATAGCCGCTTCCCTATTGGATGAACAGAGGCAACCCAAAACCTGCGGGCTCGAGGAACATTTGTGTGAGGTTGTTTAAGCTTTAGAGTTAGAGATTTTAAAGGCGATATATTGATATATTAAGAATGTTTGGATTAATTATATAAAAAACAGATTTGGTAAAAAAGGAAGGAAATAGTTAATAGTTTATTGTCCTTCCCAAATTTTAATGATTGCTTGATTTGTGGGATGAGGGGGGGAAAAAAAGTTTTGGGGGGGGGTTTCTTGCTGTGTTCATCTTATAGTCTATTATATATCTATTATATATCTAAGACATGTGCTTCTGGCTTGATCTTTATGACATTTTTAAATAAGACAAACTATAGGTTCTTCTTTGAAAAATTAACCATAGACGGATATATGCAACTTAATAATAATGTAAAATGTGGTAACTTAAACCCTCCACTATACCCTGAGAATGGATGTTTGTTACAGTGTTTACACTTTTATACAGTTCTGAAACTATTCACATTTCAACAAAAAAACTAATAATTATATATTATATATAATATTTGTAATGTCTTAAAGGGCCAGTGTGAAGGATTTAGTGGCATCTAGTAGTAAAGCTGCAGATTGCGACTAACTGAACACCACTCATGTGTCTATATTGAGGACTGGGAATGAGACCGGGTTCGATGAAGCGGACCTGCTGTGGAAAGACGAGCACAGCGCGACTGTAGATTAAAATAGAATCAGAATTCGGGTTTTAATTGCCAAGCTAGGTTTTTACCATGTAAAGGATTGTCTTGTGCTA